GGAAAAAAAAAAAAGAAGAGAGAGAAAAAGCAAGAACCCCTTTTGTCTTCAAGAGTTCTCAAACAAAGCAAGACAGCTTGGGAGGGTCTCGACGTGGGACCTACCACCTTCCACTCTCTCTTGCTCTAATCCCTATCTATCTGCCCTCTATTCTTCTCCCCCCAGATCTTCTCCTAAATTAAACGAGTACCGATGCTAGTAGACAGTAGTCGTATATAAAGTTGCCTGATCTGTTTTGTTTTCAACTTCACACGAACTAATCATTAAGCTCGGGCTGGAAACTCCTGGCTGCCGCTTCCTCGGTTTCCAATTCTCTGTTGGTCCTTACAATCCCCTTCTATGGTAATTTCTCATCACTCTCCCTGTTTCTCTTTTTACTCCGATGATATTCTTTCATCACCAAGTTAAAACTTACCATTAGACCAAAAAGATTTTTTTTTTTAATTTTTTATTTCTTTATCTGCTTGTTCCACCTCGTTGACACAAGAAAGACTACATTGTTCGGCTGTGTGCCTCTCTGCTTTCATATTTTTTTCAGGAAAAATTTTGTATTTATTCCAATTCACTTCCTACGCACAAAAGGCAGAGCCGATGCTTTATTTCGTAATTCTGTACATCATCTCACTACTTTAAGGGCTTTTCAGCACAATGATAACTACTATGCTCGATCAGGGTTTCTTACGGCTTTTTTTCTTATAATTTCTGATGTTAAGTACTCACTCTGCGTGAAAAAGAAAAATCATTTTATTTGACTGAGATGCTCCTCTTATTTTAGCAGCTACAAATAGAAATGTAGAATATGGGAACTTGGTGACAAATTGGGGCTTACAAAAATATGGGTATAATCGTTTGCAAGGTAAAGCTTTGTTGTGGCCTTTACAGAATAATAGTGATAATAATCTACCAACTGTTGAAGAAATTGTGGTGGGATTATTTGGTTCGTAAACGAAATTGAGTTGGGAATTGGATAAAGGTCGACCAGCTGTCCACGTAAAGTCAAGAAAGGGACCCTCACAATGGATGATGCAGGTTGCGACATGCATCATTGTTCTCTTTCATTGAAACGGGTTGGTCTATGTAAATAACCTTATTTTATAAGAAATTTATAATAATAATGATCCCAAACACCCTGCCCCATTATCGCCTCTAAGACCTGTGAATACAGATTGGCTTGAAACAGCAATTGTCAAACAAAACCTGACTAACCCCGGTTGAGGAATTGACACGTTTGGAGCAGCGGTGGGGGTTGAGTGTAAAGCTTGATTGACCTGTCATCTGGATTCTTGAGTGATTTTGGTGGGGCATGCAATTGAGTCATGTCCAAACCGGTGGCTGGGGATTGGGTCTACTGAGGGGGGTCCATTCCACCTGTTTTCGGGCCACAATTGCAGGGCTGCAGCACTGTTCTATTCAGGGACCACAACCACCTTGGTATCCCAACTCTCAAGTCGTTATTTTGGGTTCCATTCCAGAGATTTTTAGTGCTACTTCGAAACGTACAAAGGATGTTTCTGTCTCCGTGATGATGTTTTTTCCCAAGGCAAAGCTTTCCTGTCGGAAAACATCTTGAAGCCCTTAACCCATCTCTGTATTTGGAGCGCCTAACTTGATATATATATCCAACTGTCTTGTTCGGTTGTGTTGCCAAATACATATAGTTAAGATATCCCGCCGCCCGTGCGATGTGAAGGATGCATTCATCCAATGTTCTGTAAACGAAACATCTATATATGGCCAAATGGTATTTTTTAATTTCTTCCCCTAACCCCTGGCCTGCTTGTCGAGGATGGCTAATAATACATTGCTCATTGAGTGGGGACATAAGCTATTCACAAGAATCAGAGCTTGTATTTATGTCATTACGATATTTCTTTCAACCTTCTGCTTAACACACACCAGAAAAAGTACGTAAAAGACTTACCTGTTTTAACATAATTTTTTTTTATTTTTGGGTTCGCAGCAAGAGTGAAACAGAAAATCAAGAATCATCGGCGTGAAAAACATAATACTAGTTATTATGACTTTATGAGTAGGGACACAGAGGCCAGGATATGTGCTGGCATGAACCTTGGATATGATACCAGCTGGTATTGTTTATTGATGAGAGCATTCTTGAACAGGAAAACCTTGGAGCTAATTTTTGCCCAGGTGCCCGTTCTCCGCGTAGTTGTTGACAGCAGCAGTAAGTGTATTTTCCAATAGCCGTTACCTCCATCCTAAATTCTGCAATTTCTCCGAACTTAGCCTGACCACTTCTGTCTCTTCCTCTTTAAAACTGTCAATTACACAAAAGTGGGCATAGTACGAAGCAAAAAGAAGGCAGTTTAAGAATTCGATTGTATAACAAAATTTGATTTGTTTGGTGTTCATATGTTGTTGGGAGAAGATGAATCTAGATTTATCAGAGAAATAAAGGAAGATGAGGATCTAGATAGTTGCTTATAGCTTAGTTTACCTCTTGGGGTAGTTGTAAACAGGATACTTGCCTTTTAACTTCTCCACCAAATCCTTCGTTCTAATCTTATGGGATGAACATAAGTATCTTCCCTCTGCTTCAGGCTTTTCATACAGCATCAAGGTTGCTTCAGAAGCATCACGCACATCTACAAAAGCACGACTTCCATTGTCTGTTGCTTTCCATCCATCTGTTTTCCATAACAGCATCCCCGTCATGCCGTCATACAGATTTGATATGCAGAATAGGAAAACCTTACAGTATTAGTTGTAGATCTGCATCCGGTACTGTGTTGTGATAATGCATCATTGCAGCTAATTATGACAATGAATGACCTTTCAACCTAATTTTATTACTGTTTATAAATGAATCTGATCACAAGGTATGAAAGTGGCATAGTCGTCATCACTATCAGGAGAAAAACCTTGCAAAAACTTGAGGAGGTATAAGCTGCTGGTGTTCATGGTTGGTTGCAGCAATGGTCCAATAATCACGGAAGGGCAAATTGTTACTATGTTGAGTCCACTTCTCTTTGCATACGCCCAAGCTTCACTTTCTGCTGCAGTCTTGGAAAAGCAGTACGATTGCTGGCGCTCACACTAACATATATCAAAGAAAAAAAGGGAACCAAAACTTAGAAGACCTATGCTTGCAAATAGTGACTCTGCCTATCTGCCCGAATAGAACTCATTGGACATAAGGAGCAGTTGCAAGTAATCGAGTTAGTACCTTAATTGCCTTGCAAAATGCCAAGTCAGACTAGCAGTCCTTGTTCATAACCTGACCCTTTGGCCAGTTAGGATTCAGCGCAATAGCCGCAATGGATAACACAACCACGACCTTCTTAACTTGTGTCTTCAAACATGCATCGAGTACATTTCGTGTACCAGTTACTGCTCGTTCCATTAGTTCAACCTGCCCCGTGAAAAGGATAATAATATCCATTATGAATCGCCCTTGTGTTAAAACCAAGCGAAGTCACTCTCTCTTAGTCCAACTTTAACTGTTTAACCATATAAAAAATTACCAAGAGCCGATTGACTGGGTAGACGGGGAGCCTATTTGTTCTTCTGAACGAAACCATGTTATCAAAATCAAAGTTTGGGTTAAAAGTTGTTAGATGTTACCCGCTTTAAAAGGAATAATGTTCAAATCCTCTATCCCTCCCTTGGACTTTCTCATAAGTACCAAGAGAAGGAATAAAACCATGCTACACCAGAGTGGGACTTGGAGAAGTGAATTGGATTAAAACAATAAACCTGAATTTCACCTTGGATGACCAAATACAAAGAATCAAATTGCAAGAGGGACAACAGACTTGCCTCAGAATTTATTACAGCGTCCGCTGGAGGAACAGGGCTAGCAACATGGAAAACGCCAGTGCACCCAGCAATTGCAGCGCAAAGACCTTCACTGTTCAGCAAGTCCGTCCGGAAGAGTTGCAAGTTTTCTGAAGCTTTGTCTAGTTTCTTCAGATGAGCGTTCTTATCATCCCCTGACAAAAACACAGACAGGTCTATGTTCTTTAGAAAAATTTATAGTGCTACCAGCTCTAGTTGAAGGAAAGCAGATTTATTTGTTAAAGAAAAGGAAAATAGATGGCATCTTTTTGCATTACTCCTTCAGAAATTTAGCTCATAAGTAACAAGAATTCTTAACTTAGATATAAAACAATTTTTTGGCATAAAATACGAGATTCCACCAAAGTTTCAAAGCAATGGAATTGAAAGGTGAATGAAATTTGTAAGGGGATAATAGTGAGAATACCTGGGTCCCTAACAGTTCCATGGACATGGTAACCCTTTAAAAGCAGAAATTTGAAGATCCATGATGTCAGGAACCCCCCTGCACCGGTCACACAGACTCTTTCTCTCCCTCCCATCATCTTTCTTGCTCCAATCAACAGGAATTGTCCAGCTTTCTGAGTTCTCTTATATACACTGTTGTGGCTGCCTCCCGTGCACTACGTTGACAAACTGAGTAGACACCTTGTTTGGTTCGTTGCCTTGAATTTTGTGTTTCATCCTCGGTATTATTTGAAGAGGAATTTTTCTGAAATGCGCATTTGTTTTCGACATTCTTCTTTTGTTTGATATTTCCAAACCTTTAGGTGATATACTGATATCATTGTAGTTATCACGAACAGTGTATGGAGCAATTGAGTGTGCTTTTTAGCTTTTAACACATGGGATGAACCATACAACATAAGCAATGGAATGGGCTGTAGAGGGATGACGAAGGTGCTCTCCGGAATCACTTTGTCATTTCTAGGGAGCCTGTAAATGTCCGAAGATGATTGTTCCATCCCCTAGACAACCTGAATTGTTTATTCTCATGTTTTCTGATGTTTCATGCGGCATAAACCGTGAGAGGAAGTCTTGGGCTCTGTATGGTTTTGCTGTTTACCACTCAAGGGTAGATATTTTTTGTACGCATTTTATACGTAATGAAATCTGCTAAATTGCCTTTCAAAAAAACAAACATATGTAATGCTCACACTTCCTGTGAATCTTACTTCCTTTTCCCACTCTTGAACATAAAACACTCGAACTAAATTTTCCAAGGTAGGTAATGTTGAACAAATTCGTTGCCACCAGCTGGGTAGAGAGGAGAGGAGTAATATTTTTGTTAAGTTAGGAGCTGCAGGTTTATGATTACTGCTCATGCTGCATAACCAGGGTAAGCGCCCATTACATCCGCAATCCTTTTCCCCAAAGCACATATGGCATACGCCCCCCTCCAAATTTTTTGATTCTAATTATTTTGGGGTTACTTAAGACCATTATCAGATAACATGGGAAGAAGAGAAAGCTCATAAATGCAAGGCAAACATCATATTTATTAATCCGGATATAATCTGAAGGAAACCAGAGAGTCAACAACGATAAGGATCAACCAAAAAAACTATTTCCTTTTAATCCAAGATTCCAGCCTTTCTATAGCTCTCAACGGAATCCACAAGAGTTTCTTCCAATGGCCGGTAACTCCAGCCTAGCTTCTGTAATTTTTCTGAACTAAGCATATCTTCCTCCCCTACCTTGATGAAGCTGCTAATACAGACATGATTCAGAAAATCATTCATTGGAAAATCTCAAGTGATAATATAGTAACAAACAGATTCCTAAAGGGTATACTGTTATACTAGATTCTATCATGAACCAATATTCTGCAGCAAGAGACATACCTTTTAGGATAATTGTAGTTAGGAAATATACTTCTCAACTTATCAACAAGGTCACGTGCCATGATCGAGTGAGCTGTGCATATGTACCTTCCTTCAGCCTCTGGCTTCTCATACACCAAATGCAATGCTTGAGCTACATCACGCACATCTACTATGCTCCGATGTTTGTTTTCCAGCGCGTCGTACCCCTCTGAATCAACACATTGCAATAGAAAACCAAATAGAATTAGAACAGAATGCCACAAGAAAAGATCATGTTTAAGTTCAAAACGGAAAACTTATAACATATTCCTTGCAAACTTGGTTATACAGCCTCAATTTGTTACAAAATAAAAAGCAAAAAGCACAGAGATGGAAGACCATAATTACAAGAATAAAGTAAAATTTCAAGCAACAATAGTTCCAATACTACGAATTACAAGATTTAAAATTTGAAAAGCCAAGTAAATTTGGTATTAACAGAAGAAGGAAGCTACGAGCAGTAGTTCGAAATTGCAAGGCCTCAAGGGATCAATGAATATTTGGCCAAATGTGCAGCAAAGTACCAATCTAGAATACCAAGTAAAGGTAGTAGAACTGTCAAGGTTATAATTTCCTCTTTTTTCTAAAAAATAAGTAGTACTTCAGTTGATTTTCGGAACCATGCAATCCAGGTGCACAAAGCCAAGCAACTTGCACTAATGGTGGAGCACAGAAGCATATGTATGGTAGGAGTAGGCACCACCTTTTAAAAGTTTAATGAGGACCAAGCTACTAGCATTCACAGAGGGCTGCGGAAGTGGCCCTAATACGAGGGTAGGACAAACAGTGACAACATCAAGCCCAGTCCTTTTTGCAAACTCAAAAGCCTCACTCTCTGCTTCTGTTTTTGAAAAGAAATACCAATTCTAGAACAAACAAAGAATAGAGATTAAGAGTGAAGACATTATCTTACTATTAATGAAAAATAATAGAAAACTTCAAACTTTTTCTAGTCATATACCTTCGTTGTTGTGCAGTATTCCTTGTCAGACCAACAAGCCTCATCCTTGATTTGACCCTTGGGCCACCTGGGGTTCCAGGAAACAGCACTGGCAGAGGACACAACGACAACGCGTTTAACATTTGCTTCAAGACATGCTTTAAGCACATTAAGAGTGCCCTTTACAGCAGGTTCGATCATTTCCACCTACAAAAGTCGTTGCACACATGTATGAATATATGACAACGCTTTGTGTAAGATGGTGAATGAAAATATTGGGCGATGATTGATGAATGAGGTGAGGAGGACGTAAAATTGAAGGCAGATAAAGTGAGAGTGATAATAGTAGTACTAAAGTAAATTGACAAATTGAGCAGTCTTGCCTGGGGATTAGGAACGGTGGTGGAGGGTACAGGACAGGCAACATGGAAGACACCGGTGCAGCCTTCAATTGCGGAACAAAGAGAATCATAATCTAGTAAATCTGCCTTGAAGAGTTTGAGGTTGTCGGATGCTTTCTCGAGTTGATTCAAATGGGCATATTTGGCATCCCCTGTAAAATTCATGCGAAAACCCATATAGCTTAGCCAACAAAAACACCGAAAAAGGACAAGGCATGCAAGACCCAATCATCCGACGGTAAACCCACAGATTAAGTTAAGATATTGATTGCTACTACTAGTCTGGTGTTGCCCAGAACAAAGCATAATCAATACAAAATACTCAGGTCAGGTGGCGATCGAGCAGACAAAGAAATCCAAACGAAATTAAGGTCGAAACTCAAAAAGGTAAAGAAGAATAGTGATTACTACCAGGTAGTCTTACGGTGGCGTGGACAGCATAGTCGTTGGAGAGGAGAAGCTTGAGAACCCAGGAGCCAAGGTAGCCTCCACCACCAGTCACACACATTTTTCCCTTGGCCATCGCCGTTTTCGCACTTTCCCCTTCTATCTTCAGTTTACTAGACACTTCGTATCAACCTTATATCAGATTATGATGATGTAAAATTGTGTAAGAGATTAAATCTTTGATACCTGTAGAGGAAGTGTCTTATTTCAAATAATGTAATGTCTTGTAATTATACATATATAAAAATTTATTAATTTTTTTAAAAAAACCTTTTAAAAATAAAATATCCTCATTTTAAGTGTTATAATAATTATTAGTAAAATTCTTATAAATCTTATAAACTCTTCATAGAGAGGGCAATCAGCGGATTGCTAAGTTACCTCATTAGTAAAAGTATATTTGTAGCAAATAATCTAGGATTGTCTCTATAACTTGACGATGACGAGTTTTGGACCTTTTGTAATCAATTTCATCATATTAATAAATTTTTTTTTATAACTAAGTGAGTGCATATATGGTAATGGACATATCTTTTGATTTTGATGCAGATTCCTTTAGTCTGATTTGTTATTATTATTAATATTGAAACAGATATAACTGAATATTGGTTGACTTGTGTAGAAGCGTCCACCTAAGTACCGTACGGACTATAACATACTTAGGAGAAGGAGCGTAGTTCATGACAATTGGCATCAAAGCACGGGCGAGACGTGCTGATTTAAAGAGGAAAAAATGGATGAATACGCAAAGCGCACCAGAGGACCATTAGAGGATGGATAAGCTAGAGGCCGCGATGGTCATAATAAAAACACAAATGGTTTCAAGCAAGCGGATAAACGAAATTGAGACAGTCCAGCAGAAACTGTCTGAGATGATTAATACCCTAAGTGATAAGACTAAGGATGCATTGAGCACCCTTCAAGGCGAGATTGGAGAATTGAAAACTCAGGTAAATCTTTTAGTTATTGCTGCAGGTAATGCCAATAGGAGTTCCATAGATCAAGGGAAAAGGGCCAAAGTGCCAAAATCCAAGCGATATGAAGGGGTCCGAGATGCTAAGGAGTTAGAGAACTTTTTTGATATGGAACAATATTTTCGAGTTGTGCACACAGAGTTAGAGGAGGACAAAGTGGCGATGACTTCAATGTATCTTGTTGGGGACGCAAAGTTGTGGTGGCGTTCCAAATTCATCGATGGTGATTGCCATATCAACACTTGGACAGATTTAGAGCAAAAATTGAAAAATCAGTTTTTCCTTGAAAATGTGGAGTATATGGCGAAACGAAAGCTACGGGAGTTGTCTCAAATGAGATCAGTGCGGAAGTTCATAAGGAACTTCTCTACTCTAATGTTAGATATCAAAGATATAACTAAAAAAGATAGATTATTTTATTTTCTTGAGGGTCTGAAACCATGGGCAAGGACGGAGTTACAGTGACAAAAGATACTGGATGTGGCTTCGACAGTGGTGACTACTAAACGTCTTACTGATTATAGCGAAAACTCTAACAAAAGAAAATATCCTCCATCTAAGACCAGTAACTTTAGCTTAAATAGTAGGGCAAAGTTCTTGAGAGTAAGCAGATCCTCGAGTGAGGGAGGTGATTGGAGATCACTTGCTAAAGATTCACCCCAACTGAGAATAAAGAAGCCATGGAACTTTAAGTCGCGACTACTGATATCTTGTTGTTTATGCAAGGAACCTCATGGGTAGCTGACTGTTCTCATCGAGCAGCTCTTAGTGCCATATAAACTACTAATGTAGAGACACCTTCACCCCACATCACAATCGAAGAAGCCAAAGAAGAGCCGACACGAATGGGTTTTATTCGTTTCCTTAGTGCCTTGCAAGTTTAATTAGAAAAGATGAAGAAGGAACCCAAGCGAAGCCTAATGTATATTGAGGTGTTGCTGAATGAGAAAAATACCAAAGCCATGCTCGACACGGGGCTTCCGACACTTTCATCACCCCAAAAGAGGCAAAGAGGTGTGGTCTTAAGGTTGATAAGGATTTTAGACAGATGAAAGTAGTTAACTTGCCAGCTTCAGCTATAATTGGAAATGCTAAAGACGTAAAGATTAAGATTGGCTATTAGGAAAGGAAGATAAACTTAACTGTAGCCACTATAGATGATTTTGATTTTGACTTAGGCTTGGATTTTATAACGAAAGCTCAAGCTATCCTTTTCCTTGTTGCAAGTTGTTTAATGTTTTTCCATGAATGGCCATTTGTGATATCGGTTACAATCCTTCTTAAGAGTGGGAAGAAGATGATATCAGCTATACAATTTAAGAAAGAGGATTAAGAAAAGCGAACCTTCCTACGTAGCCATGCCCATCTACAAAGGTAAAGATAACCTAAACCCAATACCTGAAGAAATGAAACTAGTTTTAGAAGAATTTTAAGATATGATGCCAGAACAACTACCAAGGGTCCTACCACGTCGACAAACTGTCGATCATGAGATAGAATTACTTCTAGTAGTGAAGCTGCCTATAAAAAGGCCATACAAGATGGCTCCCCTACAGTTAGTAGAGCTAAGAAAACAATTATATAAGCTGCTTCAGGCCAAATTCATTCGACCATTAAAAGCACCTTTTGGCTCCTCAGTATTTTTTCAAAAGAAGCAAGATGGAAGTTTATGATTGTGCGTAGATTATCGAGCTTTGAATAAAGTCACAGTTAAGAATAAATATCCTATCCCTCTTATATCAGATCTTTTTAACTAACTTAGTGGTGCAAAGTATTTCTCCAAACTAGATTTGAGATCGGGTTACCATCAACTGAGAATGGCTAAGGGAGATGAGTCGAAAACCACCTATGTAATGTGATATGGTGCATTTAAATTTCTTGTTATGCCTTTTAGACTAACCAATGCTCTTACTACCTTTTGCACACTAATGAACCAAGTGTTTAATGATTATCTGGATAAGTTCATGATGATCTACTTAGATGATATTGTGGTGTATAGCTCGACCTTGGAGGAACATCAAAGGCACTTGCGGCAAGTCTTCCAAAGACTACGCAACCATCAATTATATGTGAGAAGGGAGAAATGTGCATTCAAGCAAACCATAATCCATTTTCTTGGTCATGTGGTTGAGCAAGGACACATTAGAATGGACATGCAGAAGGTCAATGCTATCAAAGAATGGGCCACCCTTAAGAATACGATGGAGCTTCGTTCTTTCTTAAGGCTACCTAACTATTATCGAAGATTTATGAAAAAATATTGAAAAAGAACAGTAATGCTAACAAAATTGCTGAAAAAGGGACAAAAGTGGAACTAGATATAGTAGTGCCAAGAAACTTTTGAAGGTTTGAAAGACACAATGATGATTGATCTTGTGTTAGTGCTCCCAGATATTGAAAAGCCTTTCGAAGTACAGACGGATGCATCAGACTTTGCCTTTGGAGGAATGTTGCTACAAGAAGGACACCCGATGGCATTTGAAATTCACAAGTTGAATGAAGCTAAGAGGAGATACATCACACAAGAGAAAGAACTGCTTGCAGTGATTTATTATTTACGGGTGTGGTGACATTATTTGCTAGGATCACCATTCGTGGTTAAGACTGATAATACAATCGTGAGTCACTTTTTCACACAGCTAAAACTTACAATTAAACAGGCGAGGTGGCAAGAGTTTTTGACTGAGTTGGATTTCTTTTTTGAGCATAAGGCGAGAAAAGCAATCGGGTAGCAAATGCCTTCATCAAGAAGGTTGAATTTGCAGCTCTAAGAATGATCACACCAATGACAGCCAGTAAAGTAACCACAGACATCCAAAATTTGATTGAGGAAAATTTGCATCAAGACCCCCAAGCAATGACCATTAGAAAGTTAGTGGAGAGCGAAAAGTCGAAATACTTTTGGATAGAGAATGGACTTCTATTAATGAAGGGACCCCACATAGTTGTTCCAAGAGTGAGAAAGCTTCGGCAGAAGTTAATACGGGAATGTCACGACACTCCTTGGGCAAGACTTCCTGGTTAGCAATGGACAATGGCACTACTGAAACAAGATTACTATTGACCTCAAATGCGACAAGATGTGATGGATTATACGATACAGGTCTCATTTGCCAACAAGATAAAGTAGACAGGCAAAGATCGGCTGGATTGCTTAAACCGCTACTAGTGCCGACCATACCTTGGAAAAGTATTTCTTTAGACTTTATTGTAGGACTTCCTAAAGTGAGAGATATAACAACAATCTTGGTAGTAGTAGACCAATTTTCCAAGTATGCAACGTATATTTTGGTACAAAAGTTTGGTTCTACAGAAGCAACGACTCACACTGTTTTTAAACATGTGATAAAATATTGGGATGTTCCTAAAATTATAGTCAGTGACAGAAATCCAAGGTTCACCATTTTTTTTTGAAAGAGCTGTTCAAGCTATTGGGTCAGAACTCAATGTATATTTCAGTTATAACCCACAAACAGATGGTCAGACAGAACGCTTCAATGGGTTGTTAAAAGAATATTTGTGACACTTTGTACAGGCAAACCATAAGAATTGGCCCAACCTGCTAGATGTAGCTCAACTATGTTTAAACTCATAGAAGAGCACAACCACCAATAGAACCCCTTTTGAGATCGTCACTGGATAACAACCTAAACTTCCTCCACGTCAGTAGAGTTGTATACCAGGAAGAGCCCACGAGCATTTAACTTTGCTAAAGAGTGGAAGCAAAACACTAAAATTGCTAAAACTTATTTAAAGAAAGCCTCCAACCGAATGAAGGAGCGAGTAAATAAAGGTTGAAAGGAGCAACATTTTAAAGTGAGAGACTTGGTGCTGGTAAAGTTGGTACCTGAACAACTTCGATTCCTAAGAAAAGGATATCGAAAACTAGTGAGGAAGTATGAGGGTCTAGTGCTAGTGGTAGCCAGGTTAGGAAGGACTTTTTACAAGATTTATCCACCCAAGTGGATAAAGGTACACCTCGTGTTTCAAGTTAGTAATTTGAAACCATTCCATGTAGATCCAGTAGATACAAACAGAAGTCAAGCCACAAAAGCCGCCATCAGCACCAAGCCACCATCATAGTGCTGAGTGGAGGAGATTTTGACAGGGAGGATGACTATCATCAACCGATGACCAACACAAGAGTATCTAGTGAAATAGGAAGGTTTAGGGCTAGACAAGATCACTT